TGCACGGAAGAAGAAATGTTGATCTTTGCAGCCCTGCAGGTTGTGGGGATGTTTGCAGCTCTCCAAGGGGGTGGGGGCTGCAGCTTTTCTCAGGGGTGGGGGTTCTGCTGCTCTCCTCGGGGGTGGGGGAGACAATTTTAGTTTGTTTTGGTTAAAGCCTTCTATTTGTTTCTTTGATGACAGAAATGAAAATTAAGAGAGTAATTTTCCGTGTAAAATGTCCCTCACAATCTATGCGTGTGCACACGCTATATAAGGCGTCTGTTCTGCAATTCTCCTTGCTTGCCTCTCACGTGCACAGAGACAAGGCAGAACAAAGTTTGACCCCCAACTGTCTAAATCTCAAACTTAGCCCAGTTGGATGCCATTTTCCTGCATAGACAGACCTCCTTCCAGATGTTCAAGATTCCAGGGAAACTCTCCTCGGAGAATAAGACATGGCTAATGATCTGCTTGTGGCTGTAACATTTCTAAAAGCTCGGTCTTGAGCCAGGTGAGGTAGAGCAGGCCTATAACCCCAGCATGTGAGAGACTGAGGCAGGAGGATCATAAATTCAAGGGCAGCTTAAGCTACCTAGAGAGTTTGAGACTAGCCTGAACAATCAGGCAAGATCCTGTCTCAAAAACTTATATTAGGGTTGGAGAGATGGCTCAGTGGTTAAGAGCTTTGCCTGCTCTTCCAAAGGTCCTGAGTTCAATTCCCAGCAACCACATGGTGGCTCACAGCCATCTTGTAATGAGATTTGGTGCCCTCTTCTGGCCTGCAGGGATATATGCAGGCAGAACACTGAATACAGAATAAATAAATCTTTTTAAAAAACATATATTAATTTAACTAAAGAAAACTAAAACCTCTTTTTATGTTTCAGTACCACATCAGCAAACTGTCACTGTGTGCAGAGATCCAGGACTTTGCCGCCAAGTCTGAGGTTGATGAGGTGGAAGCGGCACTCTCTAGTTTGGAAGTGACCCTCGAAGGCGGGAAGGCGGACAACACTTTGGTATGAACCTTCCGGTAACTCAGAATTTGTGCTGGCAAATGCAGACTGGAACCGGAAGAACATTTCTTGCAAAAAGAAAAATACGTTGCTCGCGTGACCCGCTTAAATTAATCAAGAACCGGTTTTTCTCACACTAGCGAGGCAAGGGACTGTGAGATAATTTCACCACCACCCATTAAAGTTTTTGTATTGCGTTTCTTTGGGGGGAAACCAGCTGGCACAGTATGTGGGGAAACTACAATGGGCTCCCCTACACTGGCACAGAACATGCCCTTGGTCTTTTAAGTTTAGAAAGAGCTGTACAGCCTAGGGGAGCTGAGGATGAAGAAACAGGTAAGCCTTGGCGTCTGGTCAGACATTGTCACTGAGCAAGGCTGACCGAGGGGAAGGCCTGTCGCTAGGACAGCAGTTCTCAACCTGTGGGTCGTGACCCCTTGGGGGTTGAATGACCCTTTCGCAGGACCTATCAGATATTTCCTTACCATTCATAACCATAACAAGATTACAGTTATGATGTAGTAAAAGAAAATAAGTTTATGGCTGGCCATCACCACAACATGAGGAACGGTATTAATGCTGTGTGAACTACAGTATTAGGAAGGTTGAGAACTACTGATCTAGAATAGAATCAAACGCTCCTAAACAATTTGGATTTCAGGAGCTAAACCCCTCCAGTCATCCCTAAGAAAGAAAAGCAGTTATCCACCCCTTGCCTCTCCCCGCAGGGGCATGAATGGCAGCTTTGTCATTGGAACGCCCCTCTGGCTGGATCATTTCCCTGGGCATTGCTCTTTTGTTTTAACTTCTTCAACCAAAGGAACAACTGCTGGCTTAACCACACTGAATCCAAGCAGTGGGGCTGCTGGAGCTGCGCTGAGCGCTAAGAGTGAGTCGCGGCATTCTCAGGCTTTCATTCTGAGTCCTTTTATCAGTAACTGACTTCAGAGGGGGAGCCAACACTTCCCACACAAGGCCAGTGCCTACCGGAGCAGAAATTGGAGTTCCTTTCCGCCTGCCACCTACACCGAGTGTGTGACAGGAAGTTAATCCTACTTGGACAAACGAGAAATTCCCTCCTTCCCCCGGGAGTTTTATGTGCGGCAGCCAGCCTTCAATGGCCCCCTCAGAATGAACTTTGAACCAGTTTCCTGCCAAGTTTAATCAGTGACCAGGCCTACCATAGTAGCCAACTTTAACTTAAAAATTACAGCAGCTCTGTTCATACCTAAAGGCCTGCATTCGTAACTCCAATTTTTAACTTGAATGATGTGTAAGTATAAGAAGCACCCATTGGTTTTACTTCTCTTCACGTTTTTATGCTCACAAAGAAAAGTGTTTTTATGTATGCATATACATTACTTTTTAATATGTATGTTTGTATGTTTAAATACGTGTATTTATATATACAAACGTACATATTAACAAACTAATATTGCCAACCAAGTCACCATCCAGGACTGGGAAAAAGGACTTTGTCACCTACCCAGGCGCCCAGTTTCCACCCCACCCCGCCCCTCCCCCAGGGATAACTACTGGTTCATCTGACTAAGGAACTCAGTCTCCAGTGCCATTTCGTTTTCATTAACTCAGATTTTAAAGTAGCTCTGTGGCAAGTGATTGCCATGCTGCGTGAGGCAGGAGTGGGTGGGAATGCTGTCTGTAAGGTTCCTGCTGGTCATCCTTGCATTTCTCTTTAGGAGGACATTACCGATATCCCGAAACTTGCAGATTATCTCAAGTTATTTAGGTAAGTAAGTTGAAAGGGCAAAAAAAAAAAAATGCCTTGTAGCAGACCCCCACAAGTAGGGCCTGGGGTTGGGCGTAATTGTATAACTAGCGGGCAGGTTCATGGGTCAAAGACGGGCTCTGACTTATGGGCTTTGTCACAAGAGTTGTTGAATGAGTTGAACCTTAACCCCCGCCCCATGCACTGGCCGCCTTGAGTGGAGATTTTATGATTCTGAGCTTTAGTTTCCCAAGCTGTAAAGTGAGGGGTATACCTCTTCTTGAGCTTCTTGGAAGCGCTGGATCAAGTGGGGCATTTGACAAATGTAGCCTGGTGCCTGGCACAGAGATGCTCGCAGACCAGTGGTATAAACACAAGCAGATCAGCAAGAATGAACATCTGTACACAACAGCCTTTCTGCTAGGGTCTGCTCAGGGGGCTCAGGACCCTGACACCATCAGAGAGCTGTTTGGCAGTGTAATCACGGTCTGTTTCTGTTCGTTCCTGGGCCTCCATTCACCTGCTCAGTGTTGATCAACCTTCTGCCGTCTCTGTTTGTTTTAATGGATGACTGCCACCCTTGTGATAGTGCCAAGGAGTGCTAAGCTGAAAGAAACAAAGCAGTCACTGTGTCGCTTTATGGTTTGTTGACTTCTCTTAACAAACCAAAACTTCACTGGGGCACCTGGCCTTGAGAGAAACGCAAGTTGCTTTTGACCACACAAGAGGCAAAGAAGGCCTAGCAAAGACTGACTGGTGGATGGTGTCCCGTGAGAAGCAAGGGTCCAAAGATGTCATTTGTCACTGGGTGACTAGGGTTGGTTTGTTTGGTCTTTTGTTATGTTGACAGGGTATGGTTCCGGGTCTCTTCTGTGGCACAAGAAGCTGTAACTACCACTGATCAGTTCGAGGATACTCAGAGCTTCAGGGAAAAGAGTACTTTGATGTGGCAAATTATAGCCTTAGAAAATACGTAAAATTATTTCACAAAGAAATTTAGTTTTCATAGTCTCTGAAGACAGTGCAGCCGGCACATCACGAAACAAATGAAGGCAGCCCCTTCTTGTAGGTGGTCTAGCGTTTTACAAAGGGATGATGTGTTGAAAACGACCTGTGTTCTGCTGCCTGGTGGCTTTACTTTTCAAAAACAAGTATCCTACACTTACCATCACTTGTAAGCCACCACATGCTTCCAAAACAGTTTACACAGTTTCTCCCTGGAGGGACCAGTGATTGTGCAATAGTGATAGATAGACCAGGTTTTGAAAGATAGGAATGTTGTGAAGATGGCATTTCTTAAATTTTTTTGTATTTTATGTCTATGAGTGTTTTGACTACATCCGTGTGGGCATGTGTGTGTGTGTGCATGTGTGTGTGTGTGTGTGTGTATGCATCATGTGCATACCTGGTGCCCACAGAGGCCAGAAGAGGCATCCGAGTCTGAGGAAATAGAGAGTTAAGGGGGATTGTGAGCTACCATGTGCGTGCAGCAAGTGTTCTTAACTGCTGAGCCAACTCTCCGTCCCCCAAAGATAACATTTTAAATATATTCTGCAATGTTTCCATGGCTGCCTTGCTGCCAATAATCATGCCATGTATTAAAGTGACAAATGCTGAGGGTGTTGGCGCATGCCTTTAATCCAAGCACTCAGGAGACAGAGGCAGGCGGATCTCCGGATCTCCGTGAGTTCAAGGCCAGCCTAGTCTACAAAGCCAGTCCCAGAACAGCTAGGACTGTTACACAGAGAAACCCTGTCTCAAAAAACCCAAAACATGACAACTGTCATAGCTCTAAAACATCAAATTTAGAGAAGTGGAAGGCAGAAGTAGCATGATGGTGTGATCTGGAATAAGAAGGAAATGGGTGAGACCTAGGGGGATACAGAGCTTATGTGTAAGATAAGGAAGTCCTGGAGGTCTACACAGCAAAGAGGAATTTGCTAGGAAAATTGACTGCTCTTGCACTGAAGAGAATGATGATAAGGAAAACACTAGGAAACTCTGACAGGTTTCTAATATACAGGTGGCGTTAAGGGCAATGATTTCACACTGGTAGCCCGAAACTCATCCAGATTTGTATATTAAGTGTATAAAACTCTTTACATGTCAAAAAAAATAAAATTAAAAACTCCTCAATGACAACCATTCCTGATTACAGTACTAAAATAGTAATTTTTAGGCTGTTGTCTTGTTAGAGTTTCTGTTGCTGTGAAGAGACACCATGACCATGTCAACTCTTAAGAAGGAAACCATTAGCTGGGTGGCTCACTTACAGTTCAGAGGTTCAGTCCATTGTCATGGCCGGAAGCAAGGCAGAGTGCAGGCAATCATGGTGCTGGAGAAGGAGCTGAGCGAGATTCCTCCACCTTGATCTGCGGGCAACAAGAAGTAGTCTGAGACGCTGGTGTGGCTTGAGCATATAAGAGATCCCAAAGCCCACCTTCACAGTGACACACTTCCTCTGACAAGGCCATGCCCATTCCAATAAAGCCAGACCTCCTAATAGTGCCTCTCCCTTTGGTGGCCATTTTCCTTCAAACCACCCACAGCTGGCATACAAAGTGATGCGTTGTGCTGTCTTCCTATATAAGTGTCATTATACTTTCTTCTCATTCATCCCCCCCCCCACCCCCTAAGGTAGTTTTACAAACGCAATAACGGCTGAGGATAGAGTTCAGTGGCAGAGTGTCTGCCCAGTGTGCCAGGTCCTGGTGCAGTCCTCAAAACCATAAAAGAAAAGAAAAGGTCTGAACACTTTGAAAACATGGTAACATATATTTCCGTGTTGGATATCGCCTAATTCAAGAGCTACAGTGAGTTTGAAGTGTACTTGTTAAAAATATTAAAATTCCGTATATTCTACTTAACTTTCCTAAGCGAAGTGACTGGCTTCAGTGAAGCTGGGATTTAGAAGTTCTGTCTCAACAAACCCTTGCACAGGTAGGGCTCTAGCGTCGCTATTCGGTAATACAGCCGAGGTAAACCCACTGGGCTTTGAGAAAGTAATTGCTTTCCTCTCTTGAAATGGGCTTAATGTTTCACTCACTTCGTATTTTTGTGTAGAGCTAATAATGTTTTTAGTAGTACAGTGTTACTGCCTGGAAATACTTACACATTCTTTTTTTTTTAATTTTTTTTTTTTTTTTTTTTTTTTTTTTTTTTTTT